ATCAAAGGGGTTTTTCAACATTAAAACTACCTTTTCCGATGGATTTTTTAGGTGCATCCGTAGTTCTACATTATAAAGTTGAATCCTTATATAAACTTTTTCCTTTCTTAATACAAGTATTTCTTGTCAAAAAATAAAAATCAAAGGTAATACAACAAGTATTTTTTGTCAAAAATAAAATAAAAGGTAATACAACAAGTATTTCTTTTTATTTTTTTATTTTTCTTGTAAAATAATAATAATAATACAACAAGTATTTCTTGTAAAAAATGAAATAAAAGGTAATACAATAAATATCATATTTTTCTTGTCAAAAATAAAAAAACGTAATACTACAAGTATTTCTTGTCAAAAATAAATAAAACGTAATACAACAAGTATCATTCTTTTCAAGCATGCATTTAAATTACGATTATTATATTCTTAAATTAGATATATAAATGTACATATTAGTTTTTTTCTCTCTCTCGTCTATGAATGCCTATTGTTAGAATTTTTTTACCTAGAAATAAATAATCGATTTATATTTTTTATTTTTATAATAAGGTGCTCTTTAACATAAATTTAAAAATATTACTCACGATCTCTTCCACTAAATTTACTCTAGCAACTTAAAACGTACAAGGAACTCAACATAACCAGGCCATCACCAATAATGAGAGGAGGAAACGATTTTATGAAGAAGAAGAGGAAGACGAGGTCTCTGAAAGTCTACAAGGTCTTGCAGAGCAGACCTGATGGGTCGCCCAATTACATGAAGCCGACAACCAGCTCTGATGCGAGGAGAGAAAATTCACAGGTATGGCAACAATCCCAAACTCCAGAAAAAAAAACAATCAGAATAAACCAATTTCTTCAAATAACTCTCCTCAAGCATGGGTCAGATCCGTTCTAGCTCAAAATTGAAACCCACTAGACCTTTGAAGAGAACCTCAAGTTTGAAACCCATGAAGCCTTCCATGAAGACATATGGTGTTCCGCTTTACCCTAAGCCAAATATCAATAGATCTACCTGTTCTTCAACTTTGAACGATTCCAAGTTCCCAACCTATATTGCTCTTCATCCTGGGGGCACCGAATCAGAAGGGACCTCAGTTTTCAAGGTCTGCCCCTGTACTTACTGCTTTCTAAATGGTCACCACCATGAGCCTTTTCCTCCATTAAAGCAGTTTCTATCGGCTAGGACGCATTTACTTAGGACACAAAAGAGCTTAAAATTAAAGAGGCCGTCATCTTCAAGTAGGCTAAAGTACTTTGAACTGAAGGGTAAGAAAGGAGTTGATACAGCCCAGAGGTTCCTTAATGAAGGTCTTCTTGATGAGACTGGCTCTATTGAGCCTCCACAAGGTTTAGATGTAAATGATTTCTTTGTCGAAATCTATGAGAGTCCAATACCAGGCCACAACAGTAATTATGGTTGCACCACAAATGAAGAAAGTCACAATTTCAGTAAAGAATCAGCCCTTGTTACTGAAAATGAGTTAGGCAGACCCAACACAAGCTTGGAAACAGAAACCAAAAGAGAGAATGAGACCCAAATTGAGGAGTCTTACTCTGAGAAAAGCTTGGAAGAAACCCAAATTGAGGATCTTTATTCTGAGACGAGCTTGGATGACAGTCTACATCAAATTGGTGATGTTTATTTTATTGAAGATGATTCAATACCTGTCACAGAATACATCAAGAACAATGAGGAAGAAAAGGATAATGGAATGCCCAATTATCCACTAGATTGGGCAGAGATAAGTTCCAAAGGTTGGGAAGAAATTGATCCAGGGGAACGTAGTGAACAAGTTTCAGAGACAAATGATGAATCCATCCCGGAAGGGTACCGCGAGAACATGGATGATTACCTACTGGAGGAATTTGTTTCTCAAGTGTCTACCATGAATTGGGAGAAGCAAAGCAATGAAGAACTTGATCATGAAACTGATAGCTTAGCATACAGTGACAATGGAGCTGATACAGCGATGTTCTCTTTGTTAACAGAGAAACAAGAGCCCACATTTTCAGATGAACCCATAATTGAACCAGATGACCTCACCAAATCCAGCAGTGCTGCACCACTACAAACCGAAGTCCTGTGTTGAACAGAAAACCGAGATTATGATTTATCAGATGATCCCATCTCTGAACCCACTGATCTAGCAGAAATCTCTGTTTCATCTTTCATTGATACTGAAACCCTGCACGATAAATGCACTGATGATCCAAAAGCCTACAAAATAGCAGGGCCAACTCAGATAATTAATTTACCAAGCAGCCACTATTGTAAAGATGCATTGGATGGTTCAGAAGAGCAAATTCAGGTTCAACCAGCTGAATTTGAAGACCTGCAAAGTCATGAAAAGATTGAAGTGGATGAAGAACCCAAGGGTGTCAATGGTGATGAGTTAAAGATGGATAAGGGTGGAGATACAGAAGGTTACAGCATTGAAGAGATAAGTGCAGATATGGATGAAGAAGAAGAGCTGACACCTGAAGATCTGGAAAGAGGCCATGGAAAGATCAAGGTTGATGAAGAACACACAGGCATCAATGGTGGTAAACTAGAAATATATAAGATTGGAGTTATAGAAGGTTTCAGCACAGAAAATATATATCTTGATATGGAAGAAGAAGAAGAAGAAGAAGAAGAAATAACAACTGGCGAACAATTGCAAATTGATAATGATTTGTTCGGACACCCTCCCTGTTATTCTCTTCAAGGAAAACCAGAAGACAAGGGTACAGGCCAATCCAGACAAGATCATATTGAACATTCCAATCCCATGCATGAGAGTGAAGCCTCTCTGGTGGCACTTGCAGAGGAATATGGCCCAGACCGTATTCACCTAGATATGGAGTCTCATGAGTACAATGCAACAGGAGATGAAAGCAAAGATGTTCGTTGTATTGTGGAGTCAATAGATATCAGTAACCAATCAAGACTTGAACATTGAAGATATCAGTAGGGACCACCTATCGAACAATCATCAGAGGTTCATGACCACCCAAGTCCTTCATCAACAGATGAAACCAAGCCTGAGGATGGATACAGCTCATTACAAGAACATAAAAAAAGTGAGAAAAGCAAATCCCCTTCTGTTGCTCAAGAGAATCCAGAAAGTGATTCAAAGACGCATAGAGAAGAAAATGAAACACAGCCCGATTACCTTGAAGCAAATGCACACCGTGAAGCAGAAGATGAAGAAAATGCCACAACCACTAAGACACGCATCTTTTCTGGTGAACTTAAGCATCAAAAGGAAAAACCAATATCCTGGGAAAAAAGAAGGACAACATGGACACTTGATGAAGAAAAAAAATTCAACCCACGAAGACGAGCTTACCTCCTAATTGAGCCTGACCCAGAAGCTGAGAATGTAGACCTCAGGCATCAGGAAATGGACGAAAGAAAAGATGCTGAGGAGTGGATGTTGGATTATGTACTAAGACAGGCAGTCACAAGACTGGTTCCTGTCAGACCCCGAAGGGTTTTCCTACTTGTCGAGGCCTTTGAAACAGTTATGCCACCAAACAAAAGTGTGAACCACGCATACACCATGGCGCACCACACTTTACACATGCACTAGCCATGCAATCATGCAGCTGATATCTATCAGGTACGCATGTGATAACTTCTCTTGTTGGAAAAATCAACTCATTTTGTTGATGGGAATGTATGCTACAGTCTAGTGAATTGTGGTTTCAATGAACATGGAACAATAGTTCATTTGGCACCATAACCACCCCACAAAGTAATGAATGATGATGGAAAGAGTGGGATGCACCAGAAAAGGACATGATACTAACAGATGAACTCTGCCCTCCCCATCACCGTCCATCATTTCATTGGGTGCACCATGGCGTAATACATTTGACTTATAGCATACTACCCTTTTGGTGATTATATTTAATAAAAACAAGATGAAGACTGTGATGATATTCGTGGAACAAACCTTTGTCGTGTTGTCAGGCTACAGCCAGTATAAGCAACAGCATGATTACAGAAGCACAGTACACAGAACAATATGATGGTTCTCCATGATTTTACATAAGGGAGCTGGGTTTTAAAGTAGATTAGGCTCTACATAAGCTTGTTCAGTAGTAGTCTTATAGAACTGCTGGTCTTCATAAAAGTTAGCTCCATGATGAACAATATTAAAAAGATTGTGAGTTCATATATATGTAATACTTAGTAACCATCTGCATTACCAGGACTTTGTAGCTCAATAGGATGGTTGTTCTTGTACTTTTGACTTCTGATATTATTGTACTTACTGTTGCTGCGCTTAGAAAATATTTCAAAACAGGCTTGTATTTACTATTCCTACAAGGCAAAAATGCCACTGGTTATTGAAAGCTCTAGAGATATAACTTGAAGTATGATTGGTCATTGGCATGGATTTATTCGTACATCTTTTTTCTTGTAATCCTTTGGAAGTTTATTCTTGGATCTTCATGCAGCTTTATGAAGTTATTTTGCCTGAAAGACCCACTTGAAGCATGCTTTATGATCAAAAGCTGTTGCAAGAATAAATGAGTAAAATATTTAAGGAACATAGTGATCACAGGACAATAAGCTACTAAATAAGTACAATTATCGTATCAAATCAAGCACCATGGCAATGAAAACATCAACTCTCCAGTAGGTGGATTCAGACATCTTTCACATTTCACAGATGCGAAGTTCTAAACTCAAAAATTGTTGGATTACATTTTTTTCACCTCCTTAGTGGACAAAATCGCCCTATGCAACCAGAGAACACATGGCAGGTCCTCTCCACACGAACTTTGCTGTATGTGGATGAGTATCATAACTAAAATGGGAAATCATTCAACCATGTCTTAAAGCGTTAGAGAGCCAACCCAAGGTACCTACAAACTACACTGCCATATAAATGTTTTAAGTTGTAAAGAATAGCGTTCCGTTCTGATATTCAAAGGGAAACACTCCACCAAGAGCTGGAAAATATGGGTCTTTCAAGGAAAAACAGGATGTTGGCCCAAAGGCAAGCGATTCATTCTACATAGAATTCATAGATGTCCAAATTCATTTGCAAATCGGAAAGACTCAAACATGAGCAAAAGGCATAAGTGGTCATGGTGGCAGGGTGCCACAACACATCCTCAGTTCCATTTCAATTAGGTCCCAAGCTTACATTTACAAAAATAAAATAAAATAAAAAAGATCCAAGAAGAGCTTAAGAAATGTCCGAGTGCGCATCTCCATAAAAATAAATTGTTCATCATACTGAAAGGGGCAACAGCCAAGGTCGATAAGAAAATGGAATAGAAACTATTTCATTAATTAAAAAATGGAAAAATAAATTAGAAAAGGATCCGGAAGGGAAAAAAGTAAAGGTGAAGAGGAAGTAATAAAACCCACATCAACGCTAAATTTTGGGGAGCACACTGACAATTGCTGAGATAGTATGGCTTACAATATATTCAATAAGAGACATATTCAAACCTGCAAGTGATTGCAGCCAATAGTCATCCAACTTATGTTCAAAATACATGTCCAGGATGAGCTCAAAGCCTCTGGTGCCACCAATATAAAGATAAAAAAGACATCAGAATAAGGTAGTTCTCACAATGCTGATCAATAAACTACATTTCAAGACAGAAATGAGGATGAGGTGTTTATAATCACTGCTTTTTGACCAGGAAATTCAAATGTTTGCAGTTTCAATAGATACTTTGAAATCCATAAAACTGCTAGAAAATATATCGAAAGCATATCCAGTGAAGCATCTTAATTCTTCTATGTTTTTTGTTTTCTTCATTTGTCAATAACCTAAAATTCGCCTGGACCACTGGGGCATTGGACAATTAACGTATTCCATTACAAATGATGTTATTTGTTTGGCTTATGCTTATGTTCAAGGAATTTCAAGATTGTGATCGTCGACACATAATTCCAAAATAAATAGAGCATTTGAATACTAGTTACTTATCTGCATTTGCACTTTATGAGCTTATACATGAAGAGAAAAAGAGATTTGAATATTATTAGGTTATATATATTTTTATTTATGAAGGAGCACCTCATTGAAGATTGGGGGGGGGACGGGGGGGGGGGGGGGCGCAGGCATTTCCAGCCCCAATTAAATATAGCAAAGCTCAAGCACATGTACGCTGAACAAAATATCACTTTAATTTATTTGATATCACAAACAGTAACAGACGCCCAACGGAACCGCTATACATGAACCCACTTCCCATGTTCGCTGCCATCTCAATCAAAAAAAAAAAAAAAACCAAACTCAAACACAAACACGAGCGAGAGAGAGTAAAAAGGAAAACCACCCAAGTCATTTAACTTATTTTGTTTTCAAATAAATAACCATGTACTCTGGCAAATACCAGCCAGAGTCCCATGCCCAAGTCACTCTTTCTGAATTGAACAAGTTCTGGCCTAGAATGGTCATCTTTTATCATAAAATAAGTGAAGGGGAGGACTAGGGAGAGATTCCAAGGTTTTCTTCCAGAATTGCCAGCGTCCCAACCCAAGCTGGCAAGTTTTAAATACTGGATGGAATAAAATGATGTAATCCCGCAATTTTTTAAACATTGGATAGAATAATAAAACGATGTAATTGCAGTAAGCAGTAAATATCAGAGTAAAAACTCTGAATATCACAATCAACACGACAAGAAATTATAGTTGTCCATATTCATAACACAAATCTAGTACGTGGTTTAAGACAATCAGGGAAGTGAATAGAACAATACTTATGCATATTCCAGTCAAATCTATAAGAGAATACAGATATAATTCATGACTTCCATAAAAGGACTCACAAATACAACGAAACCCTTAAAATAATCATAAATTACATTGAACCAGTACTCTGTAACAACTGAAATTCATAAATGGAATGAACAATATAATATAATACAACAAAGTAATGGAGACTCTGTTATTCGCCTTAGCGAGCCATCAATTTTTAAGAAGGCTTATTAAGCCACTTTTGAGTTCAGTAATGTGTTCACTTCAGGAATGGGTGACTCACGAAGAATGGAGTCCAACTTTTGGGAGAAGTCCTCAAGCTTGTTTGAACCAAAGGCGTCACTCAAGAGAGACATTGCTTGCATTTTCTCCTCCAAATTTGTAGCACGGTTCTCTGATTCAGCGTTCACAATATCATTATGGAATAATTTCAGGGCATCTTTAGTTGATATGGACTTCACATTCTCATGTAACTCTTGAAGTCTATTACTCTTCTCCAGTGTCCCAACCATAGTTTCTCGTAAGTCATCAGGAAGACAAGCTAAAGCGCTTCCAACCAATTACAGAAACATAAATCATGAGTTATTGAAAAGAGAGAGTAACAACCACAGAAACAAAATATGGATCTTGATTCTCATCAAAATTCACAAATAAAACCTCAAAAAGAAATTCAATAACTACACCAAAATCATGGGAGAAGGAACTATAAAGCACTTTTCACCTTGTAATTCCTCTCACTAGTCCCCAATTGTACCCCACAAGCACAGATTGCTTAAAGCCAGCATTAAAACCGTCTTGTGCTGAGGCTTCTTTTCCTGCCATTATCCCATCTCTATAGCCAATATGAGTCGATGTCAAGAATTTCATCTCAATTTAACGACCCTTCACGACATAAAAATAAGAAAAACTTTGAGCAGAAGGGAACATGAAAACCAATATGGTAAACTTAAGGATACTGTATGAAAATGACTGTGCCTCCTTTCCCATTCTCTCTGTAAGTCGGAGGATGCACTCAATTTCTTATCATCAAAAGTTTCTTCTTCACACCATGGGTTATCACCATCTGCCATGAAACTTTTAAATTTCAGGAACCCAAGAACAGCATTTGCTTTTGATTTTGTGGCAAATTTTGACCAAACTTAGTTCTAGTGCCCATCCCAACTAGAAATATGGTTATGGGCTAACTCCCTATTATGCGCCTGAGACTTGGAAGTTTGGTGTAACAGTAATAATAATATTTCCTCACAGAAAAAAAAAAATCAAGCAGAAACAGAAGCAATGGCGAAATTTCAATCCAAATATTCATCCAAATTTCAACAGTTTTTCAGTTTTCATCTCTTTCTTTCTAAGTCAGAGAACAACAAAACTACAATTAGAAAGTCGAAGTCGAAAAATTTAAATCTCAACATGAAGCAACTGTGGGAAAGAAAAGAAACATACAATATCAAGCTTCTAATCACAAGTGAACTACAAATCTTCAAAGATAAAATATGTAAAGGGTGCCATTTATCCCAAAAGGAATACCTAAATTACAAAACCATCCAATTAAAGTCATCAAATAAATAAAGAAAGATAAAAACTTCACTTAGAAACAAGCTATTCAACTGCACTAAACCCATGATGTCAAGACCAGACAGGACAGGCTAGTTTGAACCAGAAACCTGTGAAACTGGTGGGCTCATTGAGAGGTAAACGATAACTCGATAACAGGAGGGATAAATAGAAAACGTTCTCTTAGTCTGGTGCAAAGAAGAGGAGATTTATTTCAATAGTGGGGAAGAATTGATAACGAAGAAGACCCGACAGCTTAGTTCAAGAAGCCAACCAGGGGGGCAGGGGGGGGGGGGGGGGGGGGATAATTATATCCTCCTGTAACCATCAGATAAAAGGACCATCAATGAAGGACTGCTCTTGAGGGCCATAATTTCTACTGATGAATTTGATAAGGGGCATGGTCGTAAAAATGACCATTTGGGAAGGTTTTTAGGTTTAAAAACAACTCTATTAGAGAGAGAAGAGAAAAAATAGACTTTGGTGATTCTCTCTCTCAAACTCCCTGACACAAAAAACCCTATTTTTGCACAAACTTCCAGTGACTTTCGAGCTTATTCTCACCACTCAATCCGAGTTCTCAACCCCTCTAAGTTAGTCCATGTAGTTTTTTCTTTGGTTATTTGTTTTAGATTTAAAGAAGTTAGAAAAATTTTAAACTTTTTGGTTTCCTTAGGGGTTTTACAAATAATTAAGCTATTTTTTCACACACTTGCAAGGGGCAGTTTCTTGCATTCATTCTAAATATTGTTTTGGCTTTAAGAATAAATGTTGTAGAAGCTTGGTTTGTTAATACGTGGATTACTTTCAGTTTCTCAGTATCTAACTAAATTGAAGAACCTATGCATTAAGATCGCACAATATGATGAAAAGTCACAAATCGATGATAGCCACCATATGCATAGGTTGATTACTTTGATAAAAAAACAAAAATACATGTTCTAGATATTTGCTTATTTTGTGCCTTCTTTTGTATTTAAATATTTCTTATTTTGCTTTTCTTTTTTTCAATTACACGTACTTTTTTTTTTCAATTACATGTATTTCTTTTTTTTCAATTACATGTATTTCTTTTTTTTCAATTACATGTATTTCTTTTTTAATCTCCATATTTTAATTAAATATTATATTTTAGTTGTAGTTGTCTATTACTTCATATATCCCAAGTTCAAGCTTTGTGCATTTTCACTTTTGCAAAAAAAAAAAAATTGATATGAAAAATTGATGTTTTATACAATTTGTTGGTTGTTTAATGGGAAAATTTCGTATAAAACCCTAATTCTTCGTATTATTTCATGGTAGACCCTCCTTCCGTTTTTTTTTCAAACAGCTTAAGAAAATCCCTAAAGATTTTACCATACCCCTTCATCTCTTATCTCCTTCTTTTATTGACTTTTGATCATAAAAATTAACCCCAACAAATCTTTTTATACTATTTCAACCCAAAAATGTTTTTAATGGGTGGAAAGGAAACAAGAGCGTTAAACAAAGTTTTGGGATGAATGATATAAAAAGATTTGTTGGGGCTAATTTTTATGGTCAAAAGTCAATAACAGAAGGAGATAAGAGATGAGGGCGTACGATGAAATCCTTAGGGATTTCTTTATGCTGCTTGAAAGAAAAACGGAAGAGGGTCTACCATGAAATAATATTAGGAATTAGGGTTCTATAAAAAAATTTCCCTTGTTTAAATTGCTAATTCCTCCAAGGAATATAGTGAACCATGGAAATTTTTTTTATTTTCCTAATATTTTATTATTATTACTAGATTTTTCTAGTTCTAGCATTTTTCGCTTCTTTTTTTCAATTTTTAGGAAATTTTCCTATTTACTTATTTTTGACCAGTTTGACTATTAAATCAGTCAAATCCAACCGAACCAATGCCTCACCGGTTTGACCTCCAGTGCGGTCCTAACTCCTAACGACATTCATTGAACTACATCCTTTAAGTGTTTTGATTTCTACAAGTGAGTATATTCCAGCTTTATTTGCCAAACACCCCAAAAAACACACTATCAGTAAATGCATAACAAAAATAATAACATTACCAATAACAACGGCAACAATTAAAACGATGATGATGAATGTGAAGAAAATAGAGAATTGTTCGACAGGAAGTAAAGTAGAGTGAGAAACAAACCAGAAGTATAGGACTTTTCTGTGTATTCCGATTGGTTTGAATCCATCCTTAACTCTCTCAATGCTATGAGCTTTGGAAAATTGGAGCCAACTCAATTTGCCTGCTTTTTTGTCAAAACAAACATAAACTAATAAAAAAAAAGGAAAATGTATCAAGTTTTATGAGAAATAAATAAAATGAAGAGGAGAGAGAGAGAGAGAGAGAGAGAGAGAGAGAGAGAGAGAGAGAGAGAGAGAGAGAGAGAGAGAGAGAGAGAGAGAGAGAGAGAGAGAGAGAGAGAGAGAGAGAGAGAGAGAGAGAGAGAGAGAGTAGAGAGAGAGAGAGAGAGAGAGAGAGAGAGAGAGAGAGAGAGAGAGAGAGAGAGAGAGAGAG